AAGGGTGTGGCTTTAGAGAAAGTGTTGCAAGTGCTTGCATAAAAAAACAACCAAAAACAGTTACAAAATTGTACCATTTGTGGATTTCCTGTGATTGCAGGAATGAAGTGCATGTAGTTGCCTGTCCCAGTTCACGGGGGAATCCATTCCAGACCCCCCCCCACCACATGAAAATGGTGGCTCACTAATATTCAAGCCCCATTGAAACTAATGGTGTGCATGCCTGCGCACAGCCAGACTCGGCCATTTAACATATAAGCACTTGTCTCTCCCTGAGAAGAGTGAGACCGCGGACTTGAAGTCCGGGAATGGGAAGGGACAACTGTAGCTGGATTTATTTCTAGGTCTTCTTCCCTTCCACTTACGACAAATTACACACGCCACAGAAAAATAGACAAAGAATTCCATTCTTGAATCTTTGTTAAAGTTTTTATTTTTACCCTACTTGTTCCTCTTAATGGGGAACATTTGGCCATATGTGGCCACTGTCCTATTTTGCAGCACCCCCTGCCCTCCTAAAAGTAATGAAAAAGGATACTGCAATTCTGGAAGCCCACAGGGAGTGTGATTCTCCATTAAAACATAACACCTTTTCTCCAATGAACTCCTTTTGTTTTGGACAAAAAGGAGAGGACTTCCATCCACATCCCAGGTTGTGGGATGGCTCTCTTGCTCTCTTCTCAGCGGCGCTGCTTCTGGTGCTGATGCTGGTGCTGGATGTGAGGGAGAGGTGTCCCTACCACTCCTGCTTTCCCTTCTTCCACCGCTGGCCAGGGGGAGTCCAGCCTCCCTTTCTCCCTTCCTTCCTCCAGCCGCACCTTGGCCCCAGCCTTCCTGTCTGTCTGCAATTCAGATCTGTCGTTCACACTTGTTGAACACGCTTCTGAATCTGTTCTATTAAAAAGAACTGCAAAAAAACAAGTGTTTTAAAAGAGCGTGGTTTTGTTTTGTTTTTTGCATTTGTTTCGCTCCAACGTGATTCCAAATGATCGGAGTCGCATCTGAAACTGCTGCCAATGGGGACGAGGCACATATAAAGCAATCAGTAATTCACTTCTAATCATAGTGAGAACGAGCCCCTAGTCTAAATCTGGCTACTACACTACACGGCAGGGAATTTTTAAAAACGAGCAGCACAATAGCAAATAATGTGAGTGGAGAGCATGAGGGGACTGCATGTTTCCAACCTCTGTTGCATATCATTGCAGCAAGAGTTCCAAAAGTCTCCCGTCATCGGCATCTTTCAACTGGGATACAACTGGGATTTCCCAGTTTTACTCCCATTAATCTAGCTATGCTGGAAAGGGAAAGGACCTAGCACAGATCCTGTGCTGCGGTAGACAGGCAGCACATTTAGTCTTGTTGTCTTTTAAATAGGTTGCCATTGTGGGGCTATTGGATTAAACCTGGAAAGATCGTTTGTTGTTAATTTCTCTTGAGGCATAGTGGAGATGCATTCTCAGACTTAACTCCAGTTCTTAGTCAAAACTAGTGTCAACCCAATGAATTGATAGATCTTACATAAATGTTAATTTACCAAGTTACCATTCACATTAATGGGCCTAACAGGGCCTAACATTTGGATTTAGGCCTCAAATTGCAGGAGTGTTCGAAATAGGGCCTCTCTCAGGAGACCAGGTATTTGATCTTATAAAACTGCTCATCGGATGAAGAATTTGCAATGTAATAAAGTAATGTAGAGTGTCATGGTGAGTCATGTATTTGTCTCTACTGCCTAGTTTTAAACTGCATGAGTTCAATTCAGCCTCTTCCTGGAAGGGATCATAAAGAGTAGTTTTTAGTACAGATGGGGTGAGTCACATTATATAATTAAATAGGTACTTCTCCGTTATGAAATAAATTTTTTCCTCATCTTAAAATCACATAGAAAAGTTCCTAAATAACTAACATGTCACCTGCTTTGAAGTAGCTCTTCCTGGGATGTACTGCATTTGGCTAAGCAAATAGCCTAAAAAGAATTCAAAGATATAGCCATGTTAGTCTGTAGATTCAGTATGTAGAGAGATCTTGTAGCACCTTTGAGACTAACTGAAAGAAAGAAGTTGGCAGCATGAGCTCTCCTAGACTTCAGTCTACTTCCTCAGATGCTAGTCTCAAAGGTGCTACAAGATCTCTCTACAGCCTAAAAAGAGAAAATTTGAAATTGGATGTATGTGGCCAGACTTCAGTCTGTGTTTTAGTCACAAGGGATTTTTCAATACTCACTCAATGTCACAGGTTTTTCCAAATATTTATTAACCACAAAACTGGGATGGGTTAGAAGTAAGGCCCTAGCTCCAGTTACTATATCCACAGTT